CTCTAGAACAAACACCCGATTACAAAGATATATTTTGAAATGATAGCCAATATTTCTCGGCCTAAATTAGGTTTCTTAAGCAGAGGGCCTAATGTACTCTAAGCTTTAGAACTTGTTTGAGGATGTCAATATTTTGTAAACTTTGCAAGGAGAAAGAAAATGACATGACTAAAATAAGACGCTACGGTCATTGTACCAATTAAACTGCGGGGACCCTAAAAAATATATCATGATGTAGTTCATGTATATACGTATAGCATGCCCATCTTTTCACCCTTGTCTCTGCAAGTTAAACATTTTCAGCTATTCATCTCTTTCCTTTCTTTTTGTTCAATAAATAGACTGTTTGCTCGGGGTTTATCCATTTTTTTTGTGGTGAATTTAAAAAAAAAAGAAGGAAAATGGGCAATGTGTGGGTTGGTATTTAACCATGATGCCTACATGAGTAGTTTTTTGAGAAATTAAAAAAAAAGTTTTGATCTCACAAAAAAACATGCATGACATGGCAGTTATATACATAATATATATATAATAAACAATGTCAAATAATAGTAGGCCATTTTTGTTTACCGAGATGCACAAACAAATTGAGTTTTGTTATTCTCAACATTCAGAGTTATTTTCAGAAAATAAGTTTTAATTAAGTTAAAACATCTGACGATTTCTGAAGAACCTACACCTGTTGACATAGACAGAAAAAGTTATACCACAATGATTGAAAACATATCAGTCTTTTAAGTTCCTATAAAGGTACAGCTTTCAATCCTCCACACATACTATATGCCCTATACGTTCCAGTAGGTAAATGTGACGAACTTACACCTCGTGAGCGATGATAACTATTATATCTATCCTATCATCGCAAACAATATAACGACATGCCAATAAAATCCACGGCTTTTAAAAAAAAAAAAGAAAACCACCATAGACTGTCTACGGCGAAAGATTTCGAATGCGATTTAGCAAGTTATGGTGCAGGCACGGGTCAATATGGCACAGGCAGGTGGAAGAAACAGAATGGTAAAGCTGAATCTTCGAGAACTGAATAGTCATCTTCGAAAGAAATGGTTTGACCTCATCACAAGCGATTCCTTTGGTATTAATTAAAATTAACTTCCTTTTCAGTGACACATATCTTTTTTTTTTTTTTTAAGGTGAAACCCTTAACCTAGTGGGAAGAGAAAATAAAGAAAGGTGAATAAGGAAGAAAGAAAGAAAGGGAGGACACAACAAAATAAATATAATTTACATTGTGAAGTTTCCAGACGAAGTAAAGCAAGTACGGTTAAACACAACTTAACCCTATCCGTACCCCTTGGGGTCATTTTGTACCCCCGGGGTCACATTCTTCACATTTTAGAAAGCTTCAAGAATGAAAATCTCTTTGAAACTTTCAGTATTTCTAAAAAATCATTTTGACAGACTGCTATGCAAAGCATACAGATCGGATTTACGAGTAAATTTCCTCTTTGAAAGTGGTGGCACAGAGTTCCTAACATCGTAAGGATACGATAGTAAAACACAAAGTAATGGATAGGGTTAAATGCCGCTTCCAACACAGGCTGTTAAAGAGGTGCCACCTCTAATCTGGGTGGTCAGTTATGACGCACATGGCATAGACACACAGAAAGAAGTGTCTCTACAATGTGAAACAAATATAAATATGTAGGAATATAATCAAAACAACCAATCTGCTTTAAGCATAACCCTTAAAATATTGCAAAAACCAAAGATCAATATAATCTCAGCAGTGACAATTATCACAAATGTGTTAACGACAAAGCAGTTAAGGGTTTCATGGCACAGGTGTTTCCTTTTTTTTTCTTGTAAATAAAAAATGTAGAAGTTTTAAAGTGAACAGAACTATTTAAATGGAATTTCGGGATCTTTCAACCAAACGGAAATCCATCTCCTGTAGGACTGTTATGAAAACTTAACAAAACGAAAAAATGCCCAAAAGGTGATTCCAAACAGAGTTTCCCACTTTAAAAAAAAAAAGTCGGTGCTTTTTATACCACCATTGACACAATTTAGATCATTTACAAGGAGGGGTCCAACCCGGGCTGAGATATTCAATAAAAAAATGTATCTCCACACAGGAATTGAACTTGGGTCTCGTGCCCGTGACAGCAAAGTGCCTAACCGCTACACCACAGATGCTGATACGGACGGCTACGAAAATTTAGCAAAGCACCCCAAAAAAAAAGCGGTATATGCGATTTGAATCAGGGTTTCCCTACAGCCTAGTCAAGCAGATACCTACTGACGTCGGTGGCCTAGTGGTTAGTCTCTCGGACTCGCAACCGTAAGGTCGTGGGTTCGAATCCCGTCAGGGGCCCGATGTTGTGTCCTTGGGAAAGGCACTTAACACGAATTTTCCTCACTTCACCCAGGTGGGAATGGGTACCCGGCTACAGACAGCGAAAGATCTTGTCAGTTTGTTAGTGTTTGAGCGCTTAATCAGCTGCTTGCACTGTATGCTTCCCGGGAAGCTGAGAATGTTTCGGAGTGCTCTGTGGTCTGCTGGGGTAATAATATAGTGTAAAGCGCATAGAGCCTGCTGTTAAGCGGGGATATGCGCTATACAAATGCTATTTATTATTATTATTATTTGACCCAATGGCATGCCAAAAACAGTAAAGTACATTAGTAAAGAGTCAATTGTGGACGGATTGAGCAAACAATAATACGTTGATCTTTCTGGCTTGTCTCGCCTGTTGTGAACCTTATGAATGAACTTATGTTTTCACAAGCAACACAACAACTACAACATTACAATGCGTTTTGTATGTGAATGTGGCAGGAAAAGGACTGAGTGGTGGTGGAGATGTCCAAGACCTGCTCTCTAAAAACAATGTGGGAGTAAAAAAGAAATAAACAGAGGTACACATACATGCAAAACACACAGGCACACATTAACACACAGACACACGTATACATTCTCTCATTCTTCTTCACAACTAAACAAAAGTCACGAGGAAAAAATTATCACAGTAAAGAAGGAAGTTAAGTACATAACACCTAAAAAGGAATAATTATTCAGCCTTTTCCAGAGAGAAAAAAAACAAATCAAAGTACACACATTTACGTTTAGCACTATGTAGGCTTCCTGCCGTTTTCATACTCAACATGTAGCCTATCTTCTGTATGGGAGGTAGAAGAGTGCCATTTACCTTAAACAAGAAAAATGTATAGCATATCAGAATTATATAAGACAGCCATTTCATATATATAGCTACCATAAGACTGGTACCAAAGATCATGCCTTTCTATGAAATGGAAAAGATAAAAATGGGAGATCTGAGGATGTACACTTCTACAAAGGTATGTTGCTGGGTGCTTTCATATTTCTGGATTTTAAAGATGTTAAAATTGATTTCGCACTCACAAGTACATTATTAAGTTGAAGCACGGTAACCCAGTGTCATTGATGTTGGACCTACAATTGGAACAGCTGAAATGAGTAAAGAATAAACTGTCTCTGTTGGGGCAAATGAGCCCCCAGCTGCCAGCTCGTTAACTGCGTAGTTGAGGTGGAGTTGAGCTTAAAGACATTACAAATGAATAAGGAGGCCCTTCCTCCTGCACAAATATTATATATATATATTATGCTAAAACTAAAGATAGCAAAATGTAAAATTTACATAGATATTGAGAAATGTAATAATTCCGTTCAGATACCTTAAGAATGTAAAAGTTGAAGTAAAATGTAAAACATAATATGTAAAACATTCTATTGAAAAGATTGATTATTAAAATATTTACTTACTGACATCTTAAGCAACATCAAATATCATACAATTTTCTTTTTTTTTCTGTTTTGTTTCATCTTGAAGCATAGCAATTGCTATCATATTAATACAATTTCTACATAACTTACAAATGTGCGGTACCAAATCAGGACATGGGATGAAAAAACAACAACAAACATGCTCACTCGGTACGGACAAATTGACTGTAGCTGGTCAGTAAAGGCCCATAAAAAATGGAATGGGCAGACAGACAGATGAACAGACAAGTAGCGACTTCTTTATGAATTTATTAAGTTTACAATAATCGTATCCATGTGGCACAGATACCAGGAAAAAAAAAAGTGACTGTGCAGGGTAAAACAAACATTATGTAAGAATGCAATCAAAAGAATCAATGAGCTTTTACTTTAAGTATAACCCATAGAATATTGCAGAAACCAAAGACACGCACGCCGCAGAAGTGACACAATCACCACAAAAGTGTTAACAACAAAGTAGTTAAGGATTTTATGACACAGGTTTGTCTTTTTTTTTTTTTACTTTTCAAAACTACGCATTATAAGTAATGAAATAAACACAGAACTGGAGGTTAGGTGGCATTTCCGTATCTTTCATCCACAAATTCCAGTCTGTTCACCCGTACACAGTTATAGCGCCAGTTTACCCTTTCATAGGCACAGAAATTTAATCCTTTTGTGATATCATATATCATACTTTAAAAATATAACATAAATTATAATAAAATATGTGAGTCTATGTTAAAATAAAGGAACTCAATGTTTTACAAAAAAACCCATTACAATACATTCAACGCACAATTAAACAGGGAAGAGCACGGTAAACAATATTGGAAATCTCATCTTATTACAATAATGAGGGATCAGGATTGTGAGCAACAATAGACTGCAAATACAGTTTTAAAAAAAAAGAAACAAATCAAATATAGAATAAAATATGCTGTTTTAATAGCAAGAAGAAACAACATGGTGCAAAACACAAGTTCACAAAATATCACAATTGTGAAAGTGACACAAAACACCTTCAGACATACCGTCTTCCTCCGCCATGTTTGAGCTTTGGAAAGAGTTTTACGGCATTTGCAACACAAATAAGTCATATAAGTGCCGAAGATTAGAGGTGTTACTAGAGAGTAGATACAAAAAAAAAAAAGAAGGAATAAAGAGAGATAAGGACGATAGATGTTTGATCAGAAAGCAGCCAAAGAAAATTTCCCTATGGGATAATAAAGTACTATCTTATCTTATCTTAAATCACACAAGAGCACCCTCCAACCACACACTTGTATCCTGTACGCTGACAACACTATATATAAAATTACATGGCTTTGAGCTGAAGGCAAAAGCGCCCCACAATGTTAGATACAGACCAATAACAACGATGCCATCAACAATCAATAAAAACAAACAATTAAGACATAAAAACAGGAGCAGTTAGGGTATTTCTCGTTCAATTTTTTAAGCCCCCTTCCAACACGTGTCAGGTTGTGCAACAGGGAGCTAGGCTGCTGGATGGAGTTAAAGTATGCATAGCTTTGTCACATTTGGAAGGAATGTATATAATATTTATATCAAAGGTATATATAATATAATATATACATCATGTATGAATGTATACGTAAAAACAAAAAGGGTTTCACAAACTTCAGCAGCAGCATGTATCTTTATCACAGACTATGCTAGTCATCAGTGAGGCAGCTACAAACACTGAAAGCAAAAACTGCAGTGAAAAGATTGAAAGAAATCTATCCAAGCAATAAATGCTTTGAGTTTGAGGGTCCACATTCCCCACCCCCTGCCCCATCCCCCTTGCTCTGCGATAGAAGATCCCCCGACAGAAAAATGTCAGCAGTAGAGCAAACAATTTGAGCAGAGATCTAAACTATCTCACAAAAAGTGAGAGTCTATCAAAAAGCGTATAGAAAATATCAATGATCAAGATAATATAGGGATAAAATGCTAAAATGCCCGTTTTATGAGATCAAAAACTTTGGAAAAGTCAATAAAAAGTGCATAGATAATTCAAAATAGTTTTTCTAAAGATTATTTGAACAAAAAGTGCTCGAACATCCAAGTAATGTATGCTTGGGTTATGCTACAAAACCACGAAATTAGACACAAATATTTTGTTGTCTCAAGATGAATCATACATTACGGTTTTGTAGAAATCTACATGAACAAGAAATTGACTAAGGTTATTCCTGTCAATATTGACATGTCAGACAGAAGCTCAGAACATGCTTTTCCATCTCAGAACATATGTTGTAGACAGATTTAATCCCCCCTCCCCCCCTCCCAATCCAAACAAACCCAAGGAACAGTTACGTTGTACATTGCAGACTCTGATGCTATCTAACTGTCTGACATTACTATCCCCGTGAATCTTCCACCTTGCCATATCATGTTGCAGCTTGGGATAGCAGAAAACGTTTCTTTTCATAAATATGTTTGATAAAGTAGACATACAGAAAAGTTCTTAGCAGCGTTATTAGTCTCTATGATTAAAATCACTTTAAATGGCAGAAAACAAGAATGGACTTTTGTGGTCAGAAACCTTCAGTCTTTAGAAGACTAAGTACAAAGGTCTGAACTGGGATTTAGAAGAGATTATTTTGTGAGCTGATCCAGCAATGCATTTTCAGACAATGTCTGATTGTTTGAGCAAAGGTTTACAAGGCTAAGTCTAAATATTCACGTTAGACTTTTGAAAACAATATAATAAACTCATAGCATGACTTTTAAAGTTTAACATCCAGTAGTCTGAACAAGAGACTAGAAGGACAATGTCTAAAAGTGTGAACAATGGTGAGGCAGGCAGTCATTCAAACTCAAACAAAACATGCAAAGGCAATATCTGAAACTCTGAACAAGGCTTTTGAAGACAATTTCAGATCAACGCTTCGGCTTACAAGGATGGAAAATTTTGACAAGTTTTTCAAAGACGAAATCTGAACTTTGAATACAGTAACACCTTGATATAATGTACACGGCTTAAAGCACAATATCGGCTGTAGCATTCACTTTCAGAACCCACAAGTCCCATCTTACATTTTCACTCTTTTTTGACGTATCACTTTAACACTTTATCTCTGGCAAGCCGCTCCCAGCAACTCGCAGTCGGAACTACTGTGCCGATGAGCCACTGACAGAGACTTGGGCGCATTCCTTCACGACAACTTCGACATCAAATTACTTTTCGGCAATTGCCAAAAACAAGTCTCTTTTACCGGGAAATCATTCATTTGAGGAAGAGCTATCAAAATAGGTTCACTTATTTTGTTTTTTTTACAGTTATATATATATATCAATTTAAGATTTTGTACCAAAATAGGACCAGGGCATAGTGGGTCCCCCCCCCCCCCCAAACAGAGATAAAGAGTTAAGATGTTCAAAATCTGGGGTCTGAAGGGTGTACGTTATACTGAGTGTTTTACTGTACAAGCTTGAGTAGACAACGTCAGACAGACAGGAACAGCTTGGGCTGACCAGTAGAGGTGGGCAAAATCCGGAAAAATATCCGGAAAATCTGATAATCCTTAATAAGACATTATCCAAATTCAAACTCTTAACTCTTTTTCCTGACCTGTTTACCGAAGCGGGTGCACCCATTTGTTGGAGTTATGCCAAGAGGTTTGTCAAAGTGGTTCTAACCCATTTGACGAATCGGTTTATAACATATTATTTAACGAAAAGGTGCACTAACATATTATTCGGGATTTGCTAAAGCGACTCATTGCCCAGCCGTACTGACCAGTAGCTCACTGCAGCACACAAGTCTTGCTGGTGTTGTTCTTTGACGTGGCACTGACGGCCGACGCCGCTCCCTTCATGCTCGTTCTCTTCGCCTTGCTGCTTGCCGAGCCCGTCGGAGTTGTCCCTCCTGCCTGGCTTCCAGATGTCTGAGGCGAAGGTGAAGGTGAAGGGCTGCCCTTTGCCGAGTTCCTGTTGTGGACGGACAGACGCTTGCCTTGGTTAGCTTGACCAGAAGGCGCTGGCTCCAACAACTGCTGATTTGTTTCTTTGTTGTCTTTTTCATTGGCTGGTTCGGATGTCTGTCTCTTCGTTTCTTTGTTATTTTCAGCGGCAGCTTTGTTTGCCGCTAAGGCAGCCATCAGAATTTTGTCATCGACGTCATTCGCCGATGTCTCTGGTACTGAAAAGTCCACTGTAGGAGAGAGGAAATCAAGAGCATGAGCAATGTACACATGAAATAACCATTAAAACAGATGGGTAGCCTACACATAGAAGAACCAGTGACACATGAGTTAAATACACATCAGCAATATATATATATGAGTGAATGGAATGTATAACAATCTCATCATTAATCTGGAATGGCATTCCCATTTAGATCAGTCTCAAGAAGCATTCATATTAAGCTCAGTCTTAAATTCACATTAAGATATAAACATGATTCAAATTGAAAGAGCAGTCTAAAGTGGTGTTCACATTTTAAGGTCAGTCTTATACTTAAAGAGTGTTTTCTAAAGAGGTCATGGAACAGTCTTAATTAAAATTGACATTAGAATCCATAGAGCAGTCCTATGTGGTGTTCCCATTTAGGATTATATTTGACGATGGAGCGGACATGACACTTTGAAACCGTCAGGACCATGGCTTAGAAGTAAATCACGAAAAAAAAATTCTTTTAAGCATTTTTTCACGCAAAAAATATAGCGTTGCAGCGATTGAAATCCACTAAAATCCAAATTTTGACAATCTTCGATTTTTACACTCTCTCAAATCTCTATCAAAGAAGCACCTTTCAACATCACCTCAAAGCAGTTTGATGCTATCGTCACAGTTTACAATTTTCTTGCTTTTCATGATTCTTGATACAAACAACATAACAAATACAAATTTTTTTGTCTCTGGCGTAAAATGTACCCAAATAGACTTTAGTGGATCTTGTGGCATTGATGATGGGAGCTGCTGCTTCGATAAATACAAAGAACCAAGTATCTAACTCTTTAGTCAAAGATGGTAAGGACACAGCATGATACTTACTTTGATGACAAGGATAAGTGAATATAACATGAAGCATTGTGCTACAAAATTCTTTATATATCTAAAAGGAGAACATTTATTAAGACCAGCTGATTAATTGATTCATTATCTATAGTCTATAGTCATGATTATAGGTAGTCAACCAGCTTCTGTTAGGTACCTATCCCTGCTCCACATATGCTGGTAGCGTGACTCTGATAACCATTGTCATCATCAATGCCTTCCACCCCTAGCGGGGTATAGGCCACATACAAGCTCCTTCCATTTATCTCTGTCCTGGACCATTCTTCCAAGCTTGTTCCAAGAGAGCTTCATCTCTCTCATGTCCCTTTCCACACAACTCCTCCATGTTTCCCGTGGCCTACCCCTGCTTCGTGCTCCTTGTGATGTTCCCGCTGGGCTTTCTTAAGCAGTGTCCCATCCATCACCAATTTCTTAGTCCTATTTCTACTTCTAAATCCTTTTGTCCTGTCCTTTCCCTCAGCTCTTCACTTCTTATTCTATCCTTCCACCTAATTCTTAGGATACTCCTCATACATCTGTTGATGAAAGTCTGGACTTTATTCATTACAACAACCATTGTGCTAATGACATATAAAAACGCTCAAGCTTTGCTGGTCGTGAAAAAGGTGGATGTAACACTCACAGGGTGGCAGTTCTACTTTGTTCACGGGTCTACTGCCCGATTTCTTCTGCTTGTAGGTCTCTGATTGCTCTAGATTGTCCCGCATCTTCGTGTCCTCTTCGTACAAAACTCGCCCAACCTCGCTGGAAGAGGCGGACTCGGTGCTCAGCTTGGCAATGCGGGGACCATTGGAATGTTTGTCGCAGAGCCAGTAGATCTTGCCAGTTGGGAGATGGCACCTGCAGGATGATGAACAGACACACTGAAACATCACAGGCAGCCAGGGGCTCGCATGAACCCCAGTCTTTGTTGTATCTATTTAATCTATCCTTTTATCTGTTTATCTGTCCACTGATCTATCCAACTCCTTTCTCTATCTATTTTCTATCTAAATATATATATATATATATATATATATATATATATATATATATATATATATATATATATATGAGTTTAGATATGTAGATAGCGATAAAAGAGAGTGAGAAAGATAGAAAGAGTAGGAGAGAGATAGAGAGAGAGAGTTAGAGAGAGAGAGAGAGAGAGAGTTAGAGAGAGAGAGAGAGAGAGAGAGAGAGAGAGAGAGAGAGAGAGAGAGAGAGAGAGAGAGAGAGAGAGAGAGAGAGAGAGAGAGAAGTATATAAATAATTATAAAGATATCCAGAATTGATCAGGAACTGTATAGTCTTTCAAGTGCCCTTCAACATGACTTTCTTTGAAGGTGAAAAATTATAACAACAATAAAAATGTACAGTTTTTATAGTCCCGCATGTCCCCGTATAGAAAACAAGAGCAACATTCTCGATGACCTGACCTGTGCAACTGGCAGACTACACTTCCACTTTCAGTCTCACTGTCCTCCACAAGCTTGTTCCTCAGAGCCCCATATGATTCCAGGAAGTTCACATGTTCCAATGCATTCTGAAACAGGGAAAATTGTATATAACTTTAACTGTGATACCATGGAGAACAGCTTACAAAATCATTAAGAAACACCCTGTAGCATAAACTTTTAAAAGTTCCTGAACTCAAGACAATAATAGCGGTGCCTTTAGAGAGCGATGGCTGGAGGCAAGACTTTGACAAATGGCAAATTCCATAATGGTGTCAGTCAGAGTCTTTCATCCAGCCATCGAGGTATGGATCAAAAGAACAGATTACATCTGGTTAGTTCAGGTCTTTGTTATACAGCACTATTGATACAATTAGGTCAGGCCCAGATGACTGTGTGGAATTTGAGTATTTCATAATAAAAATTTGAGTAGGTATTTTATAATAAAGTTGTAAGCTCTGAATTATTCTATATGTATGCACTGTATACGCCATTATACATACGTCAAACAGAACAGACATTTCATTGTCCTGTGTGAACTACACCATTCAACTCAAGGAAAATTCCTAGAACTCTAGAACACTGCAACCATTCAACTATCAAAATGGTTCATCTTGTAAGCAGTCCGAGCATGTAACATCTCTCCCCCCCCACTCCCCCCCCTGAAAAAAAGAAAAAATATCCTTACAAAACAATAAAAACACGCACAAAACAAGCCTGCCCTACCTGCTCAATCCACTGAGTGAACTTTTGGCCAATCGGGCCTTCAAAACAGTTGAGGGAGACGGCACTTTGTCTGAGGATGGCAAACATCCTGGCCATGTAAGGGGAGCAACCCTTGAGGTGACCCTTGAGCTCCTCATTCATCTTTAGTGGCATTGACGTCTTGCAGATGTGCCAGCCCTTGAGGAAGGCCACAGTAAACAGAACACATTATGTCAAGATTTTTTTAACACTTTGCCATCACAAGGCTCAAATTGTACAAAACCCTTGCCATCAAAGGCAAAGGCATTTTTGGGAAAATCCAAAGAAACTGGGTGGTAAACATCGCCGATCGGAAAGAAGTGACGGCAAAGTGTTAAAGGAAATGCCACATTTGCAATAGGCAGAACTCTTTGAGGAATTACTGAACATACCACTACCTCAAAATCATAAAGTTCTATCGGACATTTTTGGCAGTTTTGAACTACTAAGACCATGAGGTCAGAAAGCAAATGTTCTACTGTCTATAAAAATCCTAAGAATAGTTCGAGTCGTCAGGATATTCAAAGAATTACATTTGAAAAAGCGTGATGTATTGTGAAACTAAAAAATGTTGAAGTCAAATTTCTCAAAACTAGGTACTGAACAGATAGAACTTTGTAATTTTGAGGTAGCCATATGTGTCCAATCAGCAGCAGATCAAAGGCAATGTTGCTGATCATTTCAAACAATTATACATACATCAAAAACATGAATTTGCAAATTTCGTAGGAAGAACATTATTGCCTTCTTTTTAAACTTTCTGATAAAGAAAACAGAATAGAAAAATTTGTATGAATAATGAAGTTATTCTTCTTTTTTTAAAGTATCCCAAAATGGCGTGTTCTCAAAAAGTTAACAAGTGGGCAGCTCTGCTAAAGTTTAGACAGATCACATAAAAAAATCTCAGACTAAGCAGCGGAAATTAGTGCAGCGTATACATTTCAATCATTTGCATAGATGGCTTCACAATTTACATTCTCCCACATTGACCAGAATAATGATCAACTCAACAAATGAAATATTTGCCAAATGCGATCTATGGTATAACTGTAGCTTCACAGACCACGGCTCTCCTCATAGCCAAATTATGAAACGAGAGGTATCAATTCAAGATAATCATTATCTTATCATCTTTAACGTCTTGTTTACTGTTTATTGTGCGCCAAATTTACTGTCATTGCTGATCAGTGACGCTATATCAGTAGCCACAGGGACTATCTTTTTGAGTGTGTACGTATCATTTGTCAGATTACGGTTGTATATGTATGTACTTGAAAGAATTGTTGTACGTTAAAAGGGCCAGTATGCATGAAACGTTGATTTAAATCTTGTTTTATTGTGAAGTGCAAAGAGCCACCATGGAGTAGGCACTATAGAAGTGATCTTTATCATTATTATTATAATTATCATCATCATTATTATTATCATATAATAATAACTATTATTATTATTCCAGAAAACATGAGAACAAGTCCAAGCCCTATCACATATCAATTTCTGTTTTCAAAACGTCACAACATGGCTCTTAAGACCTCTCACAAAAACTCATCAGGACACCCGCCACGACCCATTCGTTACGATACACGTTCTACACGATGAGTGCCCGTACCTCCTCGTGCTCACACATGACCTTGAGACAGAACGGTTCACCCTCCCACTTCTCCTCTTCCTCGTCAAGGACCACCTGGAATTTAAAAAAAATAAAAAAATATATATATATGTAAAATGTCCAGAATATAATCAACACCAACAACAAATAAAACAAAAATGGGAAGATAAAAGTAAAGTTTAGCCCCCTTCCCCATGTCTTAACAGCTTATCTCCTGCAAGTCACTAGCAGCGGCTTGTGGTCAGAACGACTGTGCCGGTGAGCCACAGGCTGTGGCTCTGGCACATTCCTTTACGACAACCTTGACCTGATATTAGTTTTTGACAATTGCCAAAAACAGGTCTCTTTTACCGGGAGTTCTTTCATTAGATGAAGATCTATCAAAATAGGTTAATTTATTTTGGTTTAATAATGGTGAAATATATGTCATTTTTAGGTTTTGTTCCAAAAGAGGACCCTGGCACCTTCCAGAGATAAAAAGTCAATGCGTCGAGGCGAACTATGTGAGCTGTTCCTGTATTTAGAGGGGGGTGGGGGGTGGATGCATAAATTATTTTTCCAGGATGCTGTCCAACTGTCTTCACTAAGATAGAAACAACTTTATGTAACCCCCCTCCCCCTCCACCACAATCATTCCTACAAGGTTTAAACAACTTAATGTAACTGTGAGCGATGTGTTTAGGATGCTCTCCAACTGTCTTAATTATGATTCAAACAAAAGATAAGATATGATGAAATACATCTTTATTGTCCAGATCCTGACACACTGGTTTATCTGTAACACCTCCACCCCCTCCCTCCCTTTCCCTCCTCCCCCTCCCTTTCCCCCACATCCTGAGCTGCCGAGTTGATCAAGCACACATGATGCAGACTCCGTTGTACTTACGTTGATGAGACGGGATGACCTACTGGCAGTCTTGGGTCGTAGCGTGGGTCGCAGCGAGCTGTGCTTGGAGTGGCTTTCTGAGCTGTCCATGTCGTTCTGGCTGCTCTTCTTCACAACACCCTTGGCAACTGCACACACACACAGATGATCAGGGTGGTTTAACTGAATCGGATGTTGTACTACTAGACACAAAATATGTTGTATGTATTGGACATAGAGAACTATAATATAAGAAGTAAGAGTTGGCTAATCGTTGCCTCAGAACTATTTTGTCCAAAGTGTACCTTACTAAGCCGAAAGGAAGCCACCAAGCCGAGAAACCTCCTGTCGACCAGAAAAACCACCAGACTTGGCACCTGGAATGTTCGTACAATGTACGAGGCAGGGAAGGCACTGCGGGTTGCAAGAGAGATGGAGGCCTACCAACTGGACATATTGGGTCTCTGTGAGATGAGATGGACGAATGCAGGGGAATGCCAACTTGCTTCAGGGGAAACAGTTCTCTACTCTGGACATCTGGAGGAATACTCGCCGCATACAGAAGGAGTAGGTATTCTGTTATCAACACACGCCAAGCGGGCTTTGATAGGATGGAAAGCAGAGGGCCCGCGACTAATGAAAAAGCGGGGACATCATGGAAACAGATAGAAAAGGATGCTCAGGACAGGCTTCACTGGAGTAATGCAGTTGATGGCCTGTGCTTGTGCTCCACTGGAAGTTAAAAAGGGCGAGAGAGAGAGAGAGGGAGTACTTAAATAAAGAGGCACTTTGTGCAAAATAATTCTGAGGCAACATAATGTCATCAGAATTGGTAAAACACATGCAGATTTAATATACATAAAATTTAAATTATATATTACTTTCATAAAAGTTCAATATGAAGAGAAAAATAAAACCTAAAATAATACCACATAAGAATTCATCATAGACCTTTAGATATATAAATGATGATGGCACTGCATTTTTCTAGAAGTTTATCTTCCTGTTAAACACAAAATAAGTCAGGTTGGAGGCTGGGCTACCAGAGTCTCAGATTACCAGTGTGTGGGGAAACATTGGAGGCAGACAGAAATATGATGTAACTCCACTTTTATCAAAATTGCAAAATCTGTCGATAACAAGAACAGTCCACTGTTTTTGGAACATTTTTTTTCTTTTTCTAAGAGGAGCTTCATTTTTCTCAGAGTCCTCTCAAAATAGAGAACTTTCCTCAGAATTATGCCACTTTAACAAGATAGTCTTGTAAGTAAGTCTCAAAATACCTGTGAACAAGGAAACATTTGAGGAAGAGAGAGAGACATTTTTCTACTCCACTCTTTTTATATTAAAATTTTAAAAAAATTTATTTTAACAAATTTGTAATACTTATTCAAATTACATGACCAGTCAGTCACCAGAGCAGTCTACCATTCTACAAGGACCAGTTTAACTCTTTTCTAAGAACAGTCTCATTTTTCTCAGAACCCACTCAAAACTGAGAACTTTTCTCAGAAACATGCTACTTTTCTCAGAAAAGCCTCACCTTTCTCAAAGTCGATGATGATGAGCCTGGGGGCGGGCACCACGTCCATGGAGCTCACATACGAGATGATGTGTCGCATGAATTTACGCTGCATCAGCTCGTACTCCTCCTGGGGAATGTTCATGATGATGATGAAGACAGTTCTTATGTTACAAGGTCGATGATGATGATAATGGTGACAAATTCTTATGTTATAATTGTGACGATGGTGGTGGTGGTGGTGATGATGATAATGATGATGATGATGATAATGATGATGATGATGACAATGATGATGATAATGATGACAATTTCGATGATGATGATGATGATGATGATGATGATGATGATGATGATGGCAATTCCTGTGTGATTATGGTGATGATGATGATGATGTTGATGATGGTGGTGGTGATGGTGATGATGGTGATGATGGTGATGATGATGATGATAATGAATGATGTTAACCCCCTCATTGCTGAGACGAGATGAAATGCCCGTTCAAGAGAGCTATAAACTCCCCTCCCCCTTCTCTCTCTCTCTCTCTCTCTCTCTGTCTCCGCCCCTATCATTCCCTCTCTTACTCACCCTCCTCCCCCTTAATCTCTTTCCCTCCCCTTCTCTCTAGCTTCCTCCCCTCACCTTAATGGCCACATTTGCAGAGTTTGTGTTTTTCTTCTTCTTTTTGGGATCCTTCTGCTGTTCTTGCAGCGTTCTCATGGCGATCTCAGCCGTCTGCTTTTGAATCAGCTGATCAGAATTCTCTGGAAGTCTCTCCCTGTGAAAATCAAAACAGCAAATCATGATATTCTGGAAAAAAATTACAGTGATAATAAGTAGCAATGACCGTAAAAAGGTCCATAACATGCTTGCACATTTTATTGTTTTGTTAATAGGATTTTTTTCAAGCAAAAAAGCATTTTTGGATCTTTGAGTCAGAATATCAAACATATTTCTTTTTTTTTTTCAAACAGGGATATCACTGGAATTTGAAGAAAATATTTGAAAATTTACAAAGTTGCCTCAGTGAACAATAAAAAAAGGCAGTTTATAGACACAACCAATAAGGGGGTAAACAACAACAAAATGCTGAAAATAACAACTGCATTGAAAACAAATTTCAGTAAAAATAAATAAAAGAACTTTTTTTAAAATACGGAAAATGAGTTCTTTTTGTAAAAAAAAAAAAATCTACACAAGTTCCCTTCACGTATGGAAGAGGAAATCTGTAGTAGTGTACCTGATGAACTTCTCCAGCACATCCATGGCCTCTGGATTCTCCTCTTGGAAGAAAACTTTGGCTGCCTTCGCACGGTGCATCAGGATGCCCACCTGAGGAAAGAAGATTCACTGCTTGTACAACTACTGATTTCTGCTTTTCTCCTATCTAGGAACAATCAGGGTAAATAGTAAAAAGCACTTAAAGATGTTAAAGGTCCATAACAAGATTTACACTTCTTATTGAAATATTTGAAAAGTTCAAAAAAACAACCCAAAAAACTAAGAAGCAATTTTAGCATTATTGGTATTCTTGTATCAGTAATAAGTAATAATGTATGCCTACACCCTTCATACGAAGTTGAGATCCTCTTTAAAAAAGCGTGCAGTAGCCTAGATAATATGACAATGAACAGCTTATTTCATCTCACAGCCGGAAACTGAGCCTGGTTGAGTACAACAGATGTGAGCATTCCTTGAACATAATACACGTGCATACACAAAATTACACACAGACACAGAGATGGGGAAAGAGGGAGGGG